AGCATGCCTATAGGATTTAATAAAACTCAAGCTGTTTTAACTAATCCCCAGAATTACGATTGCGTGTTTATAGGGTATTATAGGCCCACGGCTAGGCAAGCCTTTGGTAATTAATTGGTCTTATAAAACTGTGAAATTATGCTCTATTTATGTGTGAAACTGCCCAGGTTCAACAGGTTTTAAAATCAGTAGGCAAACTGATTGGGTTTATATCACCTCACTTTAAAACAATGCTGCATATTCTATGTTTGTGATGCTTATTTAGATACCCTGCTCTAGGACTTCTCTGAAATTACCTGAAATCTGTGTTTAAGACGTGCTACTTATTTGTTTATGTGTGGAGGTAAATATGAGCCCCCTTAACTGTTTCTCTATTTGATAGTCCTATATGTTTTTTTTTGTCGCTTAGATTTTACCCTTTAGACACCTTATGAAAGTCTAGAACTGCCTAAATTTAGAGGTCCTAAACACCTCCAGGACCACAAGGAAGTGACGAGTAAAGCACGCTTAGAGTCGTTAATTAAAAATCGCTTATATAACCGCTAAGGGGAGGGTAATGGGTAGTAAAAGGATATGATGACCTGTGCGTTAATGCCACGTGTAACCCCTCTATTTGAGAAAGGCTTACCGGGTATTGTACAGATGTGATCCTATAGGCTAACCAACTTAGGACTTCCCTTCCTTTATTAACATATGTGTGCTTAGACTACCTATCCCTAAACTTCCTTTATTAGCAAATGTGTGCTTAGACTGCTTACTTGTTAAATGACTAATTCACACAACTGATTTTCGGCCGGGACCCACTGTTGTGGACCGCGAGGGGTACCTCACACCTTCCCCTCAAGGTTATTTTGAGCCCTTACCCTAATCTCTGGTGATGCAAACTAGTTATATGAGTTAATTGCTCTAGGTGCCCTAACGCACCTTAATCCGTTAGGTGGCGACTCTTCAAATACCCAATTCCCAAAAGGAAACGAGTTGTTCCCAATGAATGTCAAAACCCAGAATCCGCGAGGAAAAATGGGGCACGACAGCGCTCGCGCATTTGCGAGAAAACGTTCGCATCTGCGAACTCAGCTAGACAGGCCTAGATCCGTATCTGTGGAATTACAGGCGCACCAACGGCCCAACAGAAGCGCCAAATGGAATGCAGAAGCTAGATTCTTCGCAGGTGCGATCGCTGGACTACAAAAGCGGCCATTGCACCTGCGTGCCGGCCTCCGCAGAAGCGAGCGAGCTCCCAGGCCACAATGACCGCAAAAGCGACCAGGCTCACGCAGAAGCGGAGCCGAACCTGTGCTCCAAAGTGTCGCAGGTGCGAAAACACCAGAACCAGACCTGTTCAAAACTATGAAAAACATCCGAAACACGCCCGGGGCCCCCGGGACCCCGTCCAAGTATACCAACAAGTTCCATACCCTAATACGGACTCGCTCGAGGTCTCAAATCACATCAAACAACGTCGAAACTACGAATCGCACCATGAATCGAACTTATGAACTTTCAAATCTTCCAACTTCTAAAACTCGCGCCGAAACCTATCAAATCAACCCGGAATGACGTCAATTTTGCAGCAAGTCCCAAATGACATAATGGACCTGTTCCAACTCTCGAAATCGCATTCCGACCCCGATATCACCAAAATCAACTATTTGTCAAACTTCTCCATCTTCCAAACTTCGACTTTTCCAACTTTCGTCGAGATGCTCCAAATTACTCTACGGACCTCCAAATTCCAATCCGGACGCACGCCTAAGTCCCAAATCACCATACGAAGCTGTTGAGATCCTCCAAACCCATTCTGAAGCCGTTTACACAAAAGCCAAATTCCGGTCAACTCTTACCGCTTAAGCTTCCAAAACTGAAATCCTTCTTCCAATTTGACTCTGACTCATCCGGTAACTAAACTCGACCACGCACGCAAGTCATAACACATAATACGAAGCTGCTCAAGACCTTATGCCACCGAACGGGACGTAATTTTTCAAAACGACCGGCCGGGTCGTTACAGATGAGTAGAGGTGTAATAAGTAACAACGAAGAACAATAGCAAAGTACTAGGACCAACAATCCAACCAAGTTGAGGCACCACCCAAGCTAAAGATAAAATACATGAACCAATCACAACTGTGATAATATGAGCACTTGTTGTCCAAACAGTTCTTCATAGTTCATATTGGAGAGAATAACAGACACCAACATGTTATGTAGATACATTTTCTTGGTTGATAAAAAGCTAGGTTTTGTTTAATCCCTTTCATATCTCCTAAGTGGTGCAGTTTTCTGAGCGGTGCACACATTGGACTTTTTGTCCTTCAAGTGCACGGGTGCATTTTTTCACAAAAACTAATATCACTTTGTGTAAGTTATTATCTAAAACGATGTAGATATTTATGAGTGAAATAACTCATAAAATGTTAGCTGACTGAGTGACAATTTAAGAAATTAATTCTTTAAACCTCTTTTCAAAAAGAAAAGGGACTCATTGTATTTATATTTCTCTTTAGCTTTCTTCCTTGTCTCTCTCGTAGTTATTGTTTCTTTTAACTCTACATAATTGATTTTTTTGTGGTAAATATGAGATTTTATTTATGCTCCGTAGTATCATTACATAAATTAGATAATTTTTTCATACAAAAAGACCTCGACTTGCCTGCTAGGATAGCTGCCTAAAGATGTGTCATTGTGTTCCCTTCCCTAAATGTAGGTCGAAGTACCAGATTCTGCAGAACATCCATTAACATCCTGCAGTTATAAAGATAGAGTTATAAATTGGAATATATTTTCTATCAGTGAAAGGACCTCTTTCATGTCGATTTCAATCTCCAATAACAGTATTTGTGGATTCAATGCTAGCTGAAAACCAAATATAAGTGCAAGGAGTTCAGNCTACCCTAACTTCGATCTATCTCATGCACATAGGCCTTAATATAGATGACGTGTGCACAATTTGCAGGAAGAATACGGAAGACATCCACCACTATTTTATAAATTTTTACATTTGCACACAATCTGGAGGAACGTTGGCATCACCCCCTCCCCCCCCACCCCCCCCCCCCCCAGGAAATCCTGATCCCAATTGTATAGACTCCATTCGCTCTCTAAATCCTGGAATCTCATTCAAAGCCCTCAAATGGGAGGATATCTACCCCTTTTGCCTTTGGTATATCTGGCTCAATCGTAATAACAACAATGTTAACAACCTCTCCAATAAAGTCTCAGTAGCACTAACCCTAAACAAAGCAGCGGATTTCAAATACTTAACGGGTTACAATCACATTCCCTTGAAATCTATTACTATTCCCATCAAATGGCACAAACCTCCTAAAGGTTTTTATAAGTTAAATTGCGACAGTGCATACACCCATAACACCAAGGTGGGTGGGTTGGGAGGAATCATCCGTAATAGTCATGGAAAATGGATAGTGGGGTTCCAAAAAAAAAACTTCTGTTATTGGCAATACACATGCGGAACTCCTGGCTCTAGAAGCAGGTCTACAAATGGCGGTGCAATTCAACCTTCATCCTTTGGAAATTGAAACCAATTCCACGGAGGTTATATCCCTATTTGAAAAAGATCACCAAATTTATGATCACATTATCTCCTCATGCAGGTGGTTAATGGTACAACTGGGAGCACTAATGCTCAGGCATAACTTCCGAGAAGCTAACTCTGTAGCTCATCTTTTGGCAAGAAGCAGTAAAAAGTTAAAGTTTATGAATAAAACAATCATTCATTATGCACCAACACAGGCAGTGGAGGCAGCTTTGAAGAATGACGCTGTAGGAAAACAATACTCTAGGTCTATTTCGGAAGAAGTTTGTAATAGGTTAGCTAGTATAGGCAATGTAAATGCCATGCAAAACTCTACTACTTTGGTAAGCCCTGTCAGTTTCGATCCCAATGAGATAGCTGATAGAGCCTTTTGTAATATTACGTAGTTTTACTAATAAAGTTTCCTTTTACAACCAAAAAAAAAAAGAGTTTTAAATTGTATCAACGGTAGAGAGGAGACCAATAGGGATACTTCTCAAAGATTGACAATTAAGGATCCATTGAGAGGTTGGCCAGAGATTAATATTTTCACCATTATCAATAGATCATTGGATGCCAGTTGCCACTAATGCAATAAATCATTGTGTTTATTTAACATAAGCAGTATTCTCAAATGTTTCACTGGAACATATTTTGATTTAGTTGAAGACGTGAGTCTCCTGGAATTCAAGCTAACTTTTTACAATTTCTTTTCCTCACTAGTCAAGTTTTAAATCATGTTAAATTCTTTTACTTCCATGGTTATACAAAGTGAACTGGATCTAAATATTCTTGGCAACTAAGTTACAACTTTTATGGGTATTAAATTTGATTCCTAATCAACAAATTATAGCAATGGGCCAAAGATACGTCTAATTATCATACTAACAATAATCAAATTTTATTTTCGGTCTAGTAAAGCGTTTATTAACTTTAATTTCGTAATTGACAAAGTTTTGAATTTTACTGACCGATATATAATCGAATTTAACCTATATGCAACGATAATGTAATGTACAATATATCACACTACAATTGTTAAGTCAATATCACACTTCTGGAGAGCATTTTCCTTAGAAGGAGTAAAAAAGGCAGCCCGGTGCACAAGACCTCTCGCTTCCACGCAGGGTCCGGAGAAGGGCCGCACATCAAATGGTATACATGATGTAGACAATCTATCCTAATACAAGATTAATAGTTGTTTCTACAACTGAAACCTGTAACTTATATAGGTCACGGGACTGAATGGTGGAAGAAAATCTTCATCTAGACCTATGGTAAAATATCATCACTAAGACATAAAGCATGTATAAATGCACAAAATTGCTGCAAATTAAGAAGTGGAACATCCTGCTAGATTCGAACAGCTTTTCCCATGATTTTCAGAACGCAAAACACTAACGGACAGAAATCATCAATCCAAACTGAAATATACTCCCCTGATAAAGTCAAAAATTGCACACAGAAAAAAGGCTTTTTATGTATTTGTATACCAACCAATAATCAAAATTTTCCATAACAGAAACAGTTGATTGCAAATCAGATAACAACTAATTATTACTATTCTAAAGAATATCAACCTATGTATGTAGGAAATAAAAACGACAAAAATTAGGACCAATGAGTTAAACACGTAAATTTGTCCATATTAAGCAAAAAAAAAAAAAAAAAAAAAAGCTTTCTCACTTCACTGCTGGGCTAGTGCATTCCCTAGCAAAATGGCCAGCCACGCCACAGTTATAACACTTGCTTCCTCCATTATCTCTACCACCAGATCTCACAGAATTGCCAATCTCACAGAATTGCCAACACCGCTACGACCACCGCTCTCGTGTGAACAGTCCCTTGCCGCGTGTCCGAGCAACCCACAGTTGTAACAAGCCCCACTATCACCACCACCACTGCCACGGGGCGTACGTCTACCACTTGGACAATCACGCACTACGTGTCCTAGCAACCCACAGTTATAACAAGCCCCATTACTACCACCACCGCTGCCACGTCCACCATTCTCACGTGAACAATCCCTTGCCACATGTCCTGTCAACCCACAGTTATAACAAGCTCCACTATCACTGCCACGTGGCACGTGTTTACCACTTGGACAATCTCGAGCCACGTGTCCATACTCACCACAATTGTAACATCCCCTACCTCCACCTCCACTTCCACCACCACCACAGCTATTACGGTCACAACCCCTAGCTATATGTCCCATCATCCCGCAGCTGTAACACGCACCGCCACCAATGTTACGATCACAATCCCTAGCCATATGTCCTATTCTCCCACAGGGATAGGACTCATCACCACCACCACCACGGTTATTACCTCTACCACCGCCGGGAACCGTTGAGAGGTGCTCCGTCGGGACCGGTGACATCAACGGCTTGATACTTATCGCCGTTACTAGTGATCGTGAACTCAACTTTTTGGCCTTCGTAGAGCGAACGAAAGCCGTCGGATTTGATCGCAGATTGATGAACGAATAAATCCTCGGTTCCACCATCCGGTTTGATGAAACCGTAACCCTTTTGGCTACTGAACCGGGAGACGGTCCCTGTCGTTCTAGTAGTTTCGACCGCCATTGATAACCGGATCGAGCTTTGTGAATTTGCCCTAACTCTTTGAAGGATATATGTAGCCGTATTTGTATTGAGGGCTGCGATTACATATGGAAAGAGATTTTATAGGGAGATTGTTAAATCTTAAGCCTTATTATGTTAGGGCTTTATTGAATCCTGATTCTAATTGGGTTTACTCCTGCTTTTGGCGGTTGCGTGAGGATTAGCGGCGCAAAAAAAAAAAAAAAAAAAAAGTGTAAGTTTTAGGCAGAATGGCCTAAATGGCACTTATACTTATGCCACTTTGTTATGCCGGTCCCCAAACTTATTATTTTACCAATTGACACTTACACTCGTTCAAAATTAATTTTCTAAATCCTTCTGACCATTGACCGAGCTTATGTGGCATTGACATAGATGAGGCGGAAAATATATGTAATACACGCGTGCAAAGAGAGTGATAGTAGTGATTTTGATTAAAAATAAATTAAACTAAAAAAAAAGAAGTAAAGTTAATAAGTTAATCGAAGTTACCACCCCCCCCCTCCCGATTTTCTTCTCTTTCTCAGTTTCTCCCACCTTTCTTCTCGCCCCTAATCCCTCTTTTCCCCTCCACACTAGTGTAAACAATGGATGAGCCTTTAAAATCACAAAATCAGGCAGAAATATACTATTTTTCTCTATTTCTTTAACAAAAAAATCTTTTACATTTCTTATTTCTTTTTTTGTTTAATCAAAACCCAACTGAGTAGGGTTTCGACGAGTTCCGTTCCTCCGACGATGTTGCTCCAGTGTCCTATCCGTGGTAGTAGCGTCACAGATTCCACGACTCTTTAGGTTAACGAACGGATCTATTTTGGTTATTGTTACTGTGTTTCGCTATTTGGAACTGGTCACGCCGGAATAATTTGTCCGGTGGCCGTTACTGATGGTATTTGTACACTTTTCAGTGAAACTCATATCCTCGGGCGAACATCCTCTTGGCTCTGTCTCGTTACTGTTTTTTCATTGCACTTGTTTTGGTTAGGTTGGCTGAAATAACTTGGTGAATCAAGGTTACAATTCGCCGCTATTGAGTCTGAGTCTTTGGACGTTCACTACCCCAACGGCTTTTGATTTTTGGCTTAGTGTTCTTGCATATCTGGAGTTTTACTTTTTGTTGAAGATTTGCAGCACTTGTGTGCGCTTGTGGGCTTCGGTGTTAGTGCTTCCCTTAGGAAATCTTCTGTTGCTGGATGGGATTTTGAAAGGAAGATCTTTGCTAGTAGTTAGGAATGGTTCACGGTGGTCAGATAAAGAAAGAGATTGTAATGGTGGCTATGAGGTTGTTTATTAAGGCAGTTTGGATTTTTTTCTTCAAATTTAAAAAAAAAAATACTTTCCGAGGAAATAAAAAAAGCCGTTGGAATAATCCATAAGGTGTAAAATAAAAGAAAATATTAGGTTGGGTGCCAGTCCTATTTTTCAATTAGTTTATCCTATGTGGCACTAGAAATGAGTGTGGCGTCTACGTGTAAGAGATTTGATTACACGCACTGGGCCTCCTATGATAAGTGTTTATTATACACGACTTGAACGAGTGTAAGTGTTCTGTTGGCAAAATGATAAGTTTGGGGACCGGCATGACAAAGTGGCACAAATACAAGTGTCATTTAGGCTATTCTGCCTAAGTTTTATGGAGTCTATTACTCACATGGTGTCCAAATTATCTCCTAAAGTTATTTTACTTTCGTTTGTAACAATAAAGTAATTGAACTATGCCTATTGCACTCAGAAGGTCACTCAACTATATTTTTGAAATTTTGGATTGCTAGATACCTATTTACCCTCTAAATTATAAATATTTATCGTTTTCTTTTATTTTTTATAAACTTTTTAATATTATGATTTTCCCTTTTTAATTTATATTATGGACTTACCTATAGAATAAATAAATATTATTTATAAATTAAAAAAATAAAAAATATTTAAGCGTCTTTAATGCTGGAATAATAAAATAATGATCGTAGTAAAAAATTAATTAGAATAATTTATTTGTAATAATAATTTTAGTATTAACAAAAAAATTCAAAAATTTATTTACGCAATTCAAAATGAAAGAAAATAAAAGGTTGTAAAATATATGTTCCATGCACGTAATATAAAAATAATTATTTAAATAAAAGTATTTTTATAGTATACATTATATATTCTTGAAAATTATGCTCAATTATATTATGTATATATTCCATGCACGACTAAACATAGCATATTTTACCCTATACAGATAGCCCCCTGCTTTCCGGTGATATAACTTTGTGTCGTCAGAAAGTTGGTAGAAACATAATAATATAATTGAGCATAATTTTCAAGAATATATAATATATATTATAAAAATACCTTTATTTAAATAATTATTTTTATATTACGTGCATAGAATATATATCTTACAACCTTTATTTTCTTTCATTCTGAATTATCTAAATAAATTTAGATTTTTGTTGTTAATACTAAAATTATTATTTAACAAATTATTCTAAATAAATTTTTTTACTATGCTCATTTTTTTGTTATTCCAGCATTATATATGCTTAAATACTTTTATTTTTTTACTTTATTGTTGCTCCCAAACGCACACGCAACTATACGTGGTCGACAAGTAATATAATGATAAGTTGAGTGTCGAACCCACAGAGACTTGTGTAAACTACTCACGAAATCACTAAAATTGTTATTCAATCCAGCTAAAATCAAAGTTCAATAATATGATTATATTATACTACGATTCTAAATACTAACTAAATTATCAAGTAACGAGTTGATTGTTGTGTATTCAGTAGAGACAAATATTCCAGGGTTGTGATCGATTCACCATTCGTATTGTGTTTTAATTAACTCTCCCTATTGTGTTTTAATTAACTCTCCCTTTCATATAATTCACTCATGGTTGCTAATTAATCGATAAATGCTCTCATAGCCTTCTCCCGAAGTACTACTCACCTATTCTCAATAGATTAACGCCTATATTCCTATGAAATTAATCTATTAAGAACGCATTAAGATCACGATATTTAATTAAGCACGGTGACTAGGTATATTCCTATCCTAACCACAAATTCGCTCCCCCTAAGGGTTAAGATCATGCTCTCTTCAGTTCTTCTCTAATCTAAACACGGCTTTCCAAAGCATAGCATAGATAGTAAATAGAACCTAACTGTTGGCCAGACAATTAAGCAATTAAACACAGAATTGAAGAAACAACCATATATTAAATGAATTATAATCAAGGTCAAGCTAATATCAAACAACAATATTCATGGCTAAATCACAACCCCAGAACAATGGGTGTTTAGCCACTCATGATGTAATCAAACAATTGCATAATTGTTGAATCAATAAAAAATACTAGAAAAAGATGAAGAAAACTGAGAATTCTCCGCTTCCTCACGATCCCGTGTGTGTTTTTCCTCTAAAGTGGCGTCTCTCTCCTCAAAATAGGTTTTAGGATGGTTTTTATACATGTTGGATAGGTTTAGGGCCGAAATAACCTTGTCCCGGGCGAAATAGGATAAAATTCTCGTAACTGGCGCCCAGCTCGGCGCCAGGCGCCGTCCCTAGCGCCCAGAATTTAAGCACACTGTTTTTGGCGCCACAGGTGGCGCCAGGCACTGCCTGTGGCGCCCCAACTGGCCTCATTTTTTATTTTGTCCGTTTTAGCTTCAAATCTTGCACGTTTTGCTCCCACTTGCTCCCGAATCATTCCTACAAGTAAAAACACTTCAAATTAATATAATTCATATCATTTAACATCCCAAATTCACGAAACAAGAGTATAATATGAGGCGATATACATAAAAAAATATATACTTTAAGCTAAACATCATTTATAAACAATATTTATGTATTCTATAGGTAAGTCCATAATATAAATTAAAAAGGAGAAATTATAATATGAAAAAATAAAAAAATAAAAAGAAGATAAATGTTTATAATTTAGAGGGTAAAATAGGTATTTGGCAATCCAAAATTTGAAAAATCTAGTTGAGTGACCTTCTGAGTGCAATATGCATAGTTCAGTGACTTTGTTGTTACAAACGAAAGTAAAGTGGCTTTAGGAGATAATTTGGGATAGTTGAGTGACCATGTGAGTAATGAACTCATGTTTTATGCGTAAAAAATATGTAATCATTGGAAAAAAAAAGAAGAAGAAGAGTAAGTTTTATGTTTAAAAATTATGCAATCATATCATTGTAATAATATATTTATATATTATATTAAATAATTATTAATTAGCATTAATATAAAATAGTAACTAATTACTATCACACATTACGATTAATTATAGTGTAAAATTTTGTAAATATTTTTACACTAGCTATTATATTATTTATATCCAAAAAAAATAAACTTTAGAGTTGTTTGGAGATCACAAAGTGAAGTTATGCATATTTATTTTCTCCTCCTCCACCACCACCACCACCACCACCACCACCACCACCAACAACAACAACAACAACAACAACAACAACAACAACAATAATAATAATAATAATAATTATTATTATTATTATTATTTTGCTATTTCCTTCATGGCATTCAAATTTGGCTTTAGTTTAATTTGTTGGAAAATTAAATCTCAAAAAAACTTTTGAAGAGGATCTTGGAAAGTTGGAAACGTGAGGAAATATATACTTAATTTAGACTATAGTGACTCAGAAAAGTTATAAAATTTCCAATTAATGAAATAAGTTGTAAACTTAAGATCGAAATTTAGCCTTTTACAAAGTTGGAGCGTGAGGAAAAATACTTAATTTAGACTATTGTGACTCAGTAACATTATGAAATTTCCAATTAATGAAATAAGTTGTATTTACGATCAGGGGCGGATTTATGTAGGGAGGTTGGGTACTTGCACCCATGCTCCTCTCCCTAGGCTATGTATAAACAATACTAATATTATGTACTCAAGTGACTACTTTGGTGCGCTGATGACTAAGTGTCCATTTTGTCCCTTAGGTCAGGGATTCAATCTCCATATAGTTCCTTCGCTTCTGTTTACGATCTTTATCCCTTACAGATTCAATCTCTCTCTCTCTCTCTCTCTCTCTCTCTCTATATATATATATATATATATAT